GCGAGCGGTGCATCTCCCGACTGGTGTAATCAGGTGTCCTCCGGCGGTTCTTATTTGTGGTCCATCCCACGGCGTCATGACTTTTCGAAGGCGGCGGGAGAGCCTCCCACTCAAGACTGAGTAGTCTGCTCCGGTGTCCACGAGTGCCGATGAGTCGAGGCCGTCGATAACAACGTTTAGGTTGTTGGACACCGAAGCAGGAGCGTCGTTGTGATGCGTAGCGTCGGGAGAGTGGGAGCGCTCCGTCGTTCTTGGAGGCTCTTTACGTCGGTCGTCTTCGGCAACTACACCTCCAGGGGTTGCCGCGCCTAGTTTCCCCGGCGAGGAGCGAGGGGCGACAGGCTTTCACGTCGGGTCGGTGCATCGGCGAAGCTGGATGTCGCGGCGACGGCGACCGGAACACTCGGCGGGACGCAGGCTCGGGGTACTGGGGTCGTCGCAGGTACTCGTCGATCTCCCGAGGGCGTTCACCATACCGGGGGCTCGGGTCGTTTGGGTGGAACCCCCGCAGCCCGAGTCGTCGGTATGGGCATTGGCGGCAGGTGTGGTTTGCTTCTCCGCAGTGAAAACACAGTGGGCGTCGGTCGGGCGTTCGCCACACGTCAGTCTTCCGAGGTGCGCGGGGCTCTTGGGCGGCGTACTGCACCTGGTCGTCGCGCCGGTGGTCGTGCTGCGGCGCAGGAGAACGACGTCGGGGCGGCGCAACATAGGCTGGAGGAGGAGGCGGTGGCCGTCGGGCCACTGCGGCGTAGGTCAGAGCGGGCTCTTCGGGTGGTGCTACGCAGGCAGGAGCCTCCGGTTGAATGGACCTTTTTCCAGTAAGGAGTGCCCCATGACGGTTTCGCCGCCTACTACAAATGGAGGGCAACCGGACTAGCCTTCCCCCATAGGAACAGATTAGTGTCGCAAGAAAACAGTGCCCCCCAAAAATGGCGAAAGGGCGATCAAGGTCAAGTGGAAAGGGTGCGCGCGTGCGCAGACGCTTACTGGAAAAAGGTCCATGACTTCTTCGCGCACCACTTCGGCTATCGACAGCTCAGCCGGCTGGTTGGCAGCAGGCAGCAGCTTCCGGAGCTCCTCCCGGACGATGTCGCGGACGATTTCCCGAAGGCCGTCGACACCGGTGGCGTTCAGGTCTAGTCGGCAAGATGCGCCGGTTCGAGGAGCAGGCACGCCGGCGAGTCGATGGTAATGGCTTGCTCGGGCCGACAGCGCTCGCTCGATGTTAGTGGCTTCAGCCACAAAACCGTCAACGGTTGTCGGGGGATGGCGGACAAGGCCCCCAAAAATTTCAGCCTTCACGCCACGCATGAGGACGCGAAGCTTCTTCTCATCGGCTGCCTCCGGATCGGCTCGGGCACATAGGCTCATGACATCCTCTACGAAGCTGGTCACGCTTTCGTTGGGGCCGTGTACCCTTGTTTGGAGAAGGTCCTCCGCTCGCTGCCGACGATGGTGGTTGAGGAACGTTCGTTTCAACTCCGCGGCGCAGGACTCCCACGTACTGAAGGACGCTTCGTGGTTTTCAAACCAATTCCTCGCAGTTCCTTCAAGCGCGAAGTAGAGATTGTGGAGGCACTGTTCAGTCGTCCATCCGTTGTGGCGGGCTACACGTTCATAGTGTTGCAGCCAGTCTTCAACGTCCTCGTGGACGTCTCCGTGGAAAGGCGTTGGAGTCCTGGGTGCGAGCGGCAGGTACACAACGGCAGAAGCGGCCGGGGTCTGCGCCTGGTTGGCCATCGTCGTCTTCGGATCGGTCGTGGGTGGCAGAAGTCCGTGTTCCGGGGGTAGACCTCGGATGCGGCGACTTGACCGGGTCTCGATCTGGTCTTCGTCGGGTTCTCTGGAGCTTCGGTTCGGACTTGTACTGCGGGAACTTGGAGGGGTGCGCTGCACGGACATGCGGTACCCAGCACCTCCACCAGAATGTCACGGGTGGTTACCAGTAAACAAGAAATAAACAGAAATAAATAAACGTTTAATGTGGCGAACTTGTGCCAAAAATAAAGAAGGAAACAGAAGAAAGCAGAGCGTCGCGGGCGTCGAAGTCGGCGTGTCAGTAGAGTCGAACGCTGGTGCGAAAACTGACTCGACAAAGTCGCGGGCGGCCTCTTATCTAGAGTGCGTCGGTATCTCGAAGATTCGGCGAAAGCGGCTCGAGCGTCGCGTGATCGGGGCGAGAATGAACACGCACTTTCTAGAAAACAAAAGCAGGGATAAATGATAGAAGTTACGTGCGGTACATGAATAAACGAGAACTTTCTGGAGGTCCGTGACCGAGCGTTGCTTTCTCAGCCCTGCGCGCGGCAATATTCAAGCACGTACAATGCTATTCCAAAACAAGCTAAAACTATTAGCAGTTCTTATCATGCGTTGTCAACGTTTCTTCCATTTCAAATATTGTGGAATGCAAAGCCAGTATTAAAGTATGTTCAAGCTACAGCAGAATAATTCGCCGGGTACATTAGAATCACCTTTTAGATGTCAGCTTACAGATCAGAATCCAACATATATGTCATGCATCTTAAGAATTCTGTATTTCTTTACACCTTAGAATTTTGGTTATTGTTTGTTCTCTTTGTGCAGCACTATAAAACGCTCAGACCTAGAGCATTTTAGGAATGGCTTTTAATGTTTACGTTTAGTTAGAGTAATTAGACTGTCTAGGTATGCATGTTTTACTTTGTTTTGAATTCAGTAAAGGTGCTAACTACCACTTCCCTTTCTAAATTTGTTGTCGTGAATCATCATTCTTGTCTAAGGCTCTTGGAAATATTTTGTCTAGGTAAAAAAGTCGACGGACGAAGACGCTAACTCACCATTCAGTATACTGATATGTAACGTTATTTTCAAGTAAGTTATATCTTTCTCTAAGTGCCACGTACCATTCACCTTTCATCTGATATTACATTCTTGCATTGTCAGTTTCCACCCATACCTTGAAGTGTTTTGTTTTGCCTGAGGAGGGGACGGTTTAGCTTGTATCCACACCATACATATTTTATAACACACTATTTTATTGAGGTCGTTGTCAATTAAATATGTTCACAAATCTATAGAAACAGCTTCTCAGAAAATAGTGCATATTCAATATATTTTACACATAATCACTTGAACGATGAATGATGTAGTTGTAAGTATAGCAATGAAAGTAGCAACAGGCAGTATAGAATAACTACCCTTCATGTAAAGAATAACCTCATCCAGCAACATGAAAAGTCATAAATATTTGTACCTAGCAACCAAGCGTCAAGTCTGCTTTGTCTTAGAGACCTAAACGTTTTCCGTCCAAGCGAATTATATAAATATATTGCGGCTCATATAAGTTGATCTGTAAAAAATCACAATCTTTTGCCTTCTCAAAAAGTTTCCGACCTTGCATTCATATGCGGCACTTTATGCGAAAAAATGTATTAAGGTGAAAAACTGGTATAATTTTGAGACTGCAGGTGACTTATGACGAAGATTGGGTGAAGTCGAATACTTGATAGCATGTCATACGAAACGAATTTTATTGCTCAAAATATGCTTTGTTATGCATACTAGTTGTCACTACATGTAAACGACGGTACAGAGTACTGAGAAGACCTTAGGTTCTAGGCCCAAGGCAACTCGCGTGCCAGAGGAGGTAGAAAATGGCTGCCGCCGTGCTACCTCCTTACCATTTTGCTCTTTGTCTCTTCGTCTATTCAAAGTTTATAGATACGATCCAATCAGGACTTGTAGAGTTCTCAAAGTGTTAATCTGCTGTTTTGCCTATCAAATCTACATTTCAGACATATGAAAAACACTCTTGTTCTATCAAAGGCGGTGGTCAGTGATCTTCCCAGGCTGAGCAAGCGACTGGCGAGCTCTTTATTGGTTGCCAAATTACGCTCTAGGCTGGCTTGCGGAGGGTAAGACATTTAACAACGTCTATGTTCTTTCATCTTATCGCAAAAGTCAGTCGCCCGGCGTAACTTACGGTGAAGGAATATATACACCAGAAAGTGTATGATGACCAGTATAAAATATAAGGAATAATGGCGTCAATATTATCATTATGTTCTTGATATATCCCCATAACAAGATCATATGTGTATGACCAAAAAAAAAATCGATTGAAGAGCTAACCTTTATCAAATAATACTATAACCACGACGATAATAGGCAATTAATTTAAAAACAGCAACTAAATATAGCACGCGAGACACATTCATATCAAACACCACTTGATTTGACGAATGCAATTCAATTGTAACATCAATACCTATAACGATACAAATCTGGAGTAAAAGAAACAAACTAAATGTTTCGCTTCAAGTATTTAAAAATGAAATGGAAGAACATAAGGAATCTTGACAATACAAGCAAAATTGGCAATTACATATTCAAACTCACCAATATGGTCGCACCTCTGCTAGACAAAGTGTAATTTGGATACTTTTTCTTGTAGAGGTCACATTGTGGCCCATCGCGACGGGGTCGTTGGTCACGCATGCTCCTTCCCTTGGACTGCCAAACGTATAAACCAACACGCGGCCCTGACCTCATGCAGCTGTGGTGGTGCTGTCGACGGCACTGCGCACGCGCAGACGCTTCGCTTCACGCAAATTCGGTTTGTGCGCACGAGCAGTGCCCACACCTGGTGTGGGCAAACGCGGGCTTGTTTGTAACCAGCGTGTCGGTCTATATCATGGTTGGGCACAATCAGCCCCAGCTTCTTGGACATTAACAGTTCCTGACACGATGGGCGAACCGGTTTCTTTGTGTACACGAAGGTAGCGAAAGTCGGCTTTGCAATATGCCTTCGGGGTTCGGTTGCTATAGCGTATCTGTGATACGATGCTAATAAATATTTCTTCAACCAACCGGATCGCGAGGTTTAGGCTGCCTGTATTTTGGTATCTTTTTTTGTGTGTGTCCATCCAGCCATTTCTGCGCTTGCTGAAAACTTAAATGGGCCAACAAACTCGATTATTGCTTACAGTCAGGTCACCTCCAGCCGCACCCGTTTCAGCATGGCCGTATTTGGCATCCTCTGGATGGACATTTTCTGGGTGTTTTTGGTGACCTTTGCCTACTACGGCTGTCTCATTGCGAGGATACCCATTTTGGAGTAAGTTGGAGATAACCTTATTTAGACCTTGCGTAGTCTTAGGTGTTTCTGGAACAACCGCAAAATAAAAACGTTTGTTGTGCGAGTTTTATTTTGATTATTCAATATTTTCAGGAGCATTCCTTGGAGGGAGAACTAAACGTTTTTAGACTCTTATGACAACCCCTCACATCAGCATAAAAAGACTTTTTTTTATCTTTTTAGTTACTTTAAAGGAAATATCATTAGCGCGGCGAAAGGATCTATGAAGTCATCTTGAGTTTTTACTACGCCACAACGTTGGCCTTCCTTGGCCCTGCGCGAGCTATGCCGGAACGAATACTTTCACTAGGAGTACTATATTTTTGCTTGCTTATTGCGCTATACAACTTAAGACAAGTCTACTAAAGACATGTTACCTTTCAAAGCGCTTGTCTACATTCCTTTACGTTTATGTGGCTTCTAGTGTATCGCATCCGTCGGTTCTCTGACTGGGGTTTGTCGAGGCACTTGTTGAAACGAAGCGAACACCACTGTTGAGTCTTTGACAGCTTCTTCTCTATCTCGTCGACCTTGTGGATAGCATTGAGGTAGCTTAAAGGGCAAAACAACCGGCCTCAGAGAAAACCGTTTAGCATACTCGCTCGCCTTTTTGAGCTCCCGCTTTTTCAATCGTCTTCTTTTGCCAAGCTCCAAATAATGCAACTCTTTAAAGCAATGAACATTCGTTCTCACCATCACATGGTGATAATTTTAACATTCATATATCATATAGTTTCTAAAGAGGGATATCGGCACTGTGACTATCTTGGTGTCTTCTCGGGTATTTCTAGCGGGAGCAGTAGCGCCTCAAATAAGATCGCGTTGTTCATGGTCAGGTTTGACTGCTCTTCAAGGATCGTGTGCTATCGCTTCATCAGCAGCGTCATCTGGGTGTAGCTTGTTGGGTTAATGCGTCCCCCTCAATCCGCCTCGTCATCTTCCTCTGAACCGGTTATTACTTGTACTTTTCAAGGATAAAATGTATCTCGGAAGCACCAGTTTCAGAAACTACTTGGTGTTCTTCAGGTACGCTCCAAAATGTACATGAGAGGCAAACCGTGAACCACTGAGTGTACGCATGCCGGCTTGTTTACTGTCTTCGGTAGGTGCCGGACTCCATCGTAGGACAGGTGTGTACGGTACATATCACGGCTCCGATCGCGCATTGCATCGTGCGCTGTGATTGTGGACCCATGATATGTCTACTCCAGGGCAGTAGAGGTAGCCACCAGCCCGGTGTTGGAAGATAACCGGCGTGGTCGTCTTAGCGGCCAAGAATCGCAATATTCGATCAGATCCAACGAGAACATTATGCCAACCTCAGCTCGGATGATAGGAAATATTGTCACGGGTGGTGACCAAAAAAATAGTAAATAAACAGGAAGAAATAAATGTTTAATGTGGCGAACTTGTGCCAAAAAAATAAAAGGGGTACAACGATAATAACAGAGCGTCGCGGGCGTCGAAGTCGGCGGAGCAGCACAGTCAAACGCTGGGGCGAAAACTGAATGTGGCTCGCCACGCGGAGCCCCTTATGTACATGCGTGGGCTTCTGGAATAATCGGCGTGGAAAGTTCGACGCGTAGAACATTCTGACCTCGAATCAGCTAGACGGTTCTCGATTTCACCAGAACATCACATTACAGTGTTAACAAAAATGCATAGCCGCGGTCAGGAATCGAACCCTGGCCCTTCGCGTGGGAGGCAAGCGCGATAACCGTTAGGCTACGGCCGCGCTGCCTACTTGGCGCGCGGCATTACTCCCCCCTTAAAAAGTGCACCGCCCCGATGCATCCCAAAACAAAACGAAGCACATAAAAAGAACGGCAACCTAAAGAGTCACTTGAAACACATAAGATCCACAGTCCTATCGAGCGTAGTACGGCTTCAGGCGCGCGACGTGGACGACTTCAGGTCGTGGTGGGCGGCGTGATGATGTTCTTGTTCCGTCGGGCATCACCTCGTAGTTGAGCTCGCTGAGGCGACGAAGTACCTTGTATGGTCCAAAGTACCGTTTCAGCAGTTTCTCACTGAGGCCGCGGCGACGGATGGGTGTCTACACCCACACCCTGTCTCCGGGCTGGAAGTGAACGTCCCTGCGACGAAGGTTGTAGCGGCCCGCGTCGACGCGTTGTTGGTCTTGAATCATGAGTCGGGCGAGCTGGCGGACTTCTTCGGCGCGTTGAGCAACCACCTGGGCGTCGTCGCTCTCATTGTCAGATGGTTCATCGGGCAGCATTGCGTCCAGCATGGTCGTTACCTTCCGACCATGTACCAGCTGGAAAGGGGTGAATCCAGTGGTCTCCTGAACCGCCGTATTGTAGGCAAACGTGACGTAGGGCAACACCTCGTCCCACGTCTTGTGCTCTACGTCGACGTACATAGAGATCATATCGGCGATTGTCTTGTTGAGTCGCTCGGTCAGCCCGTTGGTCTGCGGGTGGTATGCAGTGGTTCGATGATGGCCGGTGCCACTGAGACGAAGGATCTCTTGCGTCAGCTGGGCCATGAACGAAGATCCGCGATCTGTAATCAGAACTTCGGGAGCGCCGTGCCGGAGGACGATGGACTCGATGAAAAACTTGGCGACTTCCACAGCAGTCCCTGAGGGAAGAGCTTTCGTTTCGGCGTACTGCGTGCGATAATCATTGGCGACGATGATCCAGCGGTTCCCCGACATCGAAGGCGGAAAAGGACCAAGTAGATCCATTCCGATCTGCTGGAAGGGTGTAGTTGGAGGAGAAATGGGCTGCAGAAGTCCGGCCGGCCTCGTCGGCGGTTTCTTGCGTCGCTGGCACTCGTGGCATGATCGTGTGTATAGGTGAACGTGCTGGGTAGCAGAAGTCCGTATTCCGGGTGTAGACCTTGGGTGCGGCGACTGGTCCGAGTTTCAGGTTCCGCGTCGGGTGGTCTTCTCACCGGGCTCGGAATGGGGCTTCCACTGCGGGGAGGCTGACCACGTTTACCGGAGGTGCCCCTACCGCCAGCTCGGCCTGCAAGGATTCGCTCCAAACGACCGTCGACCTCGTGTTGGAGAACGACCAAGGGACATCGAGGAATACCTCCGTCGCCCTCCGTCACCAGCGCCCACCGCACCACGAGGTTCCCGTTCTCCATCCCCCAGACGTTCCGCGTCGCCTTTCCGTCGGTCGCGCCGTGACAGCCTGTCCCCCCTATCTCGTCGGGAAAACTAAGTGCGGCAACGCCTGGAGGTGCCGTTGCCGAAGACGACCCGAGTAAAGAGCCTCCAAGAACGCCGGAGCGCTCCCACTCTCTCGACGCCCCGCATTGCACCGACGCGCCTGCAACGGTGTCCAACAACCTAAACGTCGTTATCGATGGCCAAAACGCGTCGGCACTCGTTGACACCGGGGCAGACTACTCAGTATTGAGTGGGAGGCTCTCTCGCCACCTTCGAAAAGTCACAACGCCGTGGGATGGACCGCAGATACGAACCGCCGGAGGACACCTCATCACGCCTGTCGGACGGTGCACCGCTCGCGTCGAAATTCACGGCGAGACGTGTCCTGTGAAATTCGTCATTCTACAAGACTGTTCCAGAGACGTCATTCTCGGCATGGACTTTTTGTGTGAATACGGCGCCGTCATCGACCTTGGAGAAAACAGATTGACGCTGCGGACACCTGTTCCGTCTTCAGAGAAACTCCAAACTGCGTCAGCCGCCGTCCGAGTCGCTGCCGACCACGTGAATCTGCCGCCGCGATCAAGTGTTGTCGTACCCGTCGTGACCGATGCAGCTACCCGTAGCGAAGTTCTTCTGGAAGGTTACCTCCAGTTGCTCCTGGGAAGAGGAATAGGCGTCGCACGGGGAGTAGCTGAACTTCAGGATGGCCGCACTGTGGTCCTCGTGACGAACTTCCGGAATGAAACGCAACACCTCACAAAAGGTGCAGCCGTTGGCCACGTCGAGGAACTCCGAAACTCCGCCGAAATCGCCGCCATTACTGATGAATCCTCGCCACCTCAGCAAGACGGTACGTCGCCAGCGCAACTCGACATCGACCCTAAGCTTCCGGACCCGAAACGACGGCAGCTGATTAACCTCCTCGCCGAATACCGTGACTGCTTTGCGACGTCGTCGAAGGTACGCAAAGCAGCCAACGAAGCCGACGATGGACGGCCAGCAGTCACAGACCCCGGCCGCTCCTGCCTTCATCTACCTGCCCGTCGCACCCCGTACTCCGACGCCATTCCACGGGGACGCCCACGAAGACGTCGAGGACTGGCTTCAACAGTACGAGCGGGTGGCCCAGCACAACCGATGGACGGACGACCAGCGCCTGCAGAACCTTTACTTCGCGCTCGAAGGAACGGCCAGGCACTGGTTCGAGAATCGGGAGACTTCGTTGATCTCGTGGACCGCCTGCAAGAATGAGTTGAGGCAAACTTTCACTAACCAGTATCGACGGGAGAGGGCCGAGGACCTTCTTCGAATGAGAACCCAGGGCGCAAACAAAAACATCACATTACAGTGTTAACAAAAATGCATAGTCGCGGCCAGGAATCGAACCCTGGCCCTTCGAGAGGTGCGGGGTAGCGCATGCCCGTGCAGCGTTCCCCTCCCAGGGCCCGCAGTGCAAGCCCCATTCCGAGCCCGGTGAGAAGACCACCCGACGCGGAACCTGAAACTCGGACCAGTCGCCGCACCCAAGGTCTACACCCGGAATACGGACTTCTGCTACCCAGCACCTCCACCAAAATGTCACGGGTGGTGACCAAAAAAATAGGAAATAAACAGGAAGAAATAAACGTTTAATGTGGCGAACTTGTGCCAAAAAAATAAAAGGGGTACAACGATAATAACAGAGCGTCGCGGGCGTCGAAGTCGGCGGAGCAGCACAGTCGAACGCTGGGGCGAAAACTGAATGTGGCTCGCCACGCGGAGCCCCTTATGTACATGCGTGGGCTTCTGGAATAATCGGCGTGGAAAGTTCGACGCGTAGAACATTCTGACCTCGAATCAGCTAGACGGTTCTCGATTTCACCAGAACATCATATTACAGTGTTAACAAAAATGCATAGTCGCGGCCAGGAATCGAACCCTGGCCCTTCGCGTGGGAGGCAAGCGCGATAACCGTTAGGCTACGGCCGCGCTGCCTACTTGGCGCGCGGCAATATACTTGTAAGCGATACAAGCTGTGATAGATTTAAATGGGTACTTCGGCAATTTTTTCATGGCCGCCGATTTGTCTCAAAATTGCCTCAACGCACCGATAGACACGGCTGTGTCAGTTTGTCAAGTATTGTATGAGAAGAAAAACATTTCGGGAAGTTATATAGTTTTCGAGTTCCGTTTTCATTGTGTTTCTCAAACCGGGAACCCCTACTGGCAACATTAAAGTGTGACGAAAGAAATGGTGCAAAGTTGGCAGTAAGCCATGTTTCCTTCCAACTGATTACAAGAAGTTAAGAAGTTTGATGGTGGGATAAGATTGCTTCGTCGCTGATTCACTTAGAAGCGCACAAAAAAAACACTTGACATACTTTGTTTATGACGACCTGCACGACCTGAAAGTCTGTACCATTTTTGATGTCTTACCACTAAAGAGCGCACAGAAATTTGAATTCTGGTTTTGGTACCATCTTCATTTACGGTTTTCGTAATTGCTATAATAAATTTCGAGATAATAAATACTATACCAAAAAGACTAAAGCCCGGGTAGAAGGAAAATGCAATTTGTTTGGTTAGCTCTGAAAACAGCCGGAACACCTTTTTAAGCGAGAATGGAGTGCTTCACGGGTATTTCGAAGACGTCATTTCAGACGAAATGGACAACGACATCCAAGACAAAATTCGTCGTCGTATATTGCCGTCCTGGTCGCAGTCTAACCTCTGTGAGCTTCTTTCTAAGCACTCGGAAACCTCTATTGACAAAGACGCTGGCTTGCATACTTTGTTGATTTACAGCTTTTAACAAGCTGCGCTTTTTGAGTGACTCCTCGCCTGTGAAAGTGGCCTGGCTTCCATAGTTCTTAATACAGCGGATATAAGCAATGCAATGGGAAGTTGCACCCTTGCTCAGAAATGTACAGCAGAACGCTGGGTATCTGGAGCTTTGTTGAGCATTCTGGAGTGAGGACGTTATCAATCTTTTTCTAAACTCCCTGAACCGGTGATGGTGTCTCACAGAGCAGATTGCACATTGGCGTAACATGTCATCCCTTCTGGCGGTCCTTTTATACCAGTACTGGTTTGGTGAGGCAAAGTGCCTCATGTCTAGCGCCGAACTTTTCCTTTCATAAACTAACGTGGTCTTGGAAGTGTAAGCACCGTTCCTGCGATTTTGTTTCTTTCGTAAGACTCACCCGTTGTCGGCTCCACTTGTTTGCCGAAACAGCATTGTCAGTATATAAACGCCTTGCATTTGACTGTGAGTCAGTTTCGCAGAATTGTTTGGTCTCCGTTTGGGCGGTAATGAGTTTGATAAGGCAGTCCTAAATATAGTAAGAACATAATAATTCTGAAATCAGCCGCTGTCCCTCTCCGCGCATGTTCCTTTGGTAAATTCTCCCGCTGTTTAACAATTGAAGTCACAGGATTGTACCACAAACTAATGCTTTGTCTAATCAGGTATTGATTTTCGCCGGTTAGATTGGAGTCCGCTAGATATAGTTTTTCTAATGTTCGTGGTGTATACATGTAGTGATCAATAAATATTTTTTTTTCTGCAGGAACCTGATAAGCGATAGCAGCAGCTCCCAATTGGGCGCGCTATCTGGCATATTCCTGGCTACCTGCGTTGGGGAGGGACTTTTGTCGTGCTACCAGCTGCATCTGTGCGCGCGCTTCGGGCTACGAATTCGAGCTATCCTACAGGCGGCCGTCTTTCAAAAGGTAGGATATGTATTTATACTTTTTCATGTTGTAGTGCGTTATCATTAGAACGCTCGTTTTAACGAAAACCGGGCTATGTCTTACATTTGTCGGGGCGGGGGGAGCAGAAAAGAGGGTGGCGCGTGCGACGCTCCCATTGGTCCGAAGCGCTGACGTCAGCACGCGTCCACCTCTCCCTCTTTTTCCGGTGCTGATAAACTGACAGACACCGCCGGGGTTTCGTCAAAACGAGCCTTTTGGTTTTTGTCGAAGTCACGCGCACAGCTGGTACGGAGCCAGAGAGGAGAAAGTGGCGCGCAACACCTCCTGGATAACAAAGTCGTAGTACTGAACCAGATGGCTTAATCAGAGAAGGCCAACGCTGGGCACAGATTGAAAACGAGTACTGCGTCAGCGGTCGGATTCGCCTGAAGCCTCAGCCGAACGTAGACGTAATCGTCGTGTCCAATCTGTGTACTGCGTTGGCCTTCTCTGATGGCACCATCCCATTCTGCACTACGGCTTTGTTTTCGAGGAGGTGTTGCGCCACGACGCAGTGGAATGCGGGTGTGCTCAGTTGCGTGGGCTGTGATGTGTGCGTGTAGTTAGAACCATGGATGCGGTTACTCCACGAGTGATATGGATGTGGTTCTTTCCACGACTAATATTGAAGGGCCTATCACGGGGCGTGACGTACTCTGACAGCCAGACTACAGAAAAGGGGTGGACAAAATTACACGAAGATCCATTCGCGGATTCTTAGGGAATCCGTTTGCATGACGCTTGGGAAACTCCACACACGTTCACCCATTCGAAACGCTAACATTGACTCCGTCACGAGGTCAAAAAGAGGCAGCCTAAAATATTGGAAGCAAAAGATAAAGCCAAGAGGGAAGGACAAAAGAAAAAGTAAAAAATAAAAGTTAAGGGGTCAGCGTTAGCGTTTCCCAAAGGAAGACGTGTGTGGCGTTTTCATGAGTCATGGCAACACATTCGCTAAAAATCCACCAATGAATCTTTCTGTTTTTTGCATATTTAATGAGCACCGAATTTTGTTCTCATTTCTCTATTTATATTTCTTGGGAGATCAGTAAAATAGTTCGTATCATTATATCTGTCTGACCACGGTCGGTGAAACAGCGAACTGAACCACTTCGTCATACAGTCTGGACTTTTGTTTCGTCGAGTCTTGAGAAAAAAATCACTAAATTGCGTGCAATCTATAAAAGCACTATTTGATCTATGGGATTCGTGTGATACAAGCTACAGTCGTGAGTTGTTTTGAGCGTCAAATCGCAATACAGTACAAGAATATATGCAGGTCAATGTTGTTTAAAAACTTCGCTAAACACTATCAGCCAACCTAGGGTTTAATGTGCATCAAATAAGTCTACAGATGCCATAAATAAAACAAACCTCATCTATACATTCATTTCCCCAGATGACTCAACTGTCGCCAACTTCAAGGACCCAATATCCTGCAGGTCAGGTAGTGACCATACTGGGTGTAGACTGCTTTCTGGTCTCATACTGCATCATGCAGTTTGCGATGCCCTTCATAGGCATCATCTGCTCACCGCTTATCTTCTACATGCTCTCGGTGCGTGTGGGAGTGGGACCCACCGTCACGTGCGCCACATGGCTCCTTTTAGCCTTTCTGTTGACGATTCCGACGACGAAGATTCAAAACTCGCTTTTGGTAAGCAGCACGACACACATCTGCCAGTTAAGTATGCATTAGTAAACTACGTAAAACAAGTTGAGTGGGTGACCTAAGTTCTATTGTTTCTCCGATTCAAGATATACTAAAAAAACTGGTCGACAAACTTCTTTCGGAGGGATGACTATACACTTTTTAGCGTTGCAGAAATGCGTAACAAAAAGCAAAACCATAAAAATGGTTCTCTAAATATAGCAGATGATATATCGTTTGTTATCTTTAGTTGACTATAATCATCCGGACTATAGTCACCTGACGACGTCAGCGGGGTGGTGTGGTCAAGTAATCACCCCCCCCCCCCCCCCTGAATTTGAAGGAAACGTATGGCCCGCCGTATTTATTGCACTCGTTTGATCTTGGTACATGCCGAAAGTTTGGAGGACATTGCTATAGTCTCACTACGTTATAGTACATCCGTCTCTGACTGGTGTGCTTAGCATCCTATTACGCATGTGCGTGAAATTGGTCCTGAAGGTGGCAAGAAATGAAGTCACAGAAGCCGGAATATCTTTGTGTCAGATATCACAATCCTGGTGGTTGGGCCCATAAGTTCCTCAAAAAATACACGAGATATCGTATATTTCGCTCACATCGACGCATCCCAACTCCTGGCTGCAGAAGCTTCCGCTGACTGTGAATTGGGAGAGCGACTTGCAGCATAGCAGGTGTCTACCATATCCACCACCACTGCTGTATCACCACCAGGATCGCGGGCAGCGACAGCACGACGTTTCTATGACGTCGTCAGGCGGAAATCTAGGAGCCACTTTGTAGGACACGTTAAACAAGTCAGTCGCAGACGCTTTTTAGACACCATAGCCTACCCGCGCAGCAGGACTTCCTCGTGTGCGGTGCCAAATACCTTTTCTAGGCGTACGCGATAATATGACTATAGCATCCACCAATGTCTTTCTCCTTTGGAAGTCGCGGTATGAGTGACATACCGTGACATAGGAATTGTGCACAAAGAAAAAAGCTAACTTTTGAAGTTTGGCAATCCAAATATCCTTTCTTGGCTCCTATTGGGCTTTGCCGCAAAGTGCTATTTGAAGCCAAGATAATTTGCCTTGGCCCTAACTAGCCAAAGAAAAGTAAAAGTAAAGCTTTTCTGAGGCTTTCCACGAGGTTACCGAATTGCCATATATAATCAAGGGAAGCCAGGTTACCGCCGCACAAACAGCGGTAAACCGTAACCTTAATGCGAGTGACATGAACTTAATTCAAAGGCAATTCAGGAAGGCAAACATTGGTAAAAGATAACGCTGGTTCACCTGTCGATTAGCCTATTTCATTAACGTGGGCAACTCTAACAATTGAGAGAAAACACACGAATGTTGTAAATGGACGAAATCGGCCTATTGCTGAGCTAGTTGGTTTATTAATTTCGTTAATGTGCACAGCTTCAACAATTAACCAAGTAGTCCAATCAGCGGCCCCTACGTCTACATACGACATTCGTGAATATGTATGAATTATCGAAACTCTCGATATCTAATAAAAGCAGTCAAGCAACTAGTCCTACCCGTGGTGTCTTAACCCATTTTGTAACTTTGTGTTTTCGTCTAAATCGTCCAAGATCTTAGCGGAAACGAAAGCAAAAACCAATTGACTCAACTAAGACCACTGAAGCCTAACACCTGCATATGTTGGAGGACTAAACTTTAATGATACCTCATTACAACCGAGCAACCAAGCAGTGACCAATACCTCTAGTAAACGTTTGGTGATTTAGGGCCGAATTCCTGGTCTGTGGATAAAGAATTTAATATTTGGTTTTACTTCGCCTTTTTATGGCTTTCATGATCTGAAATTTTGAGGCAAAGACCAAATCCCGTCTCAAAGAATGGTGGTATATGTGAAACGGTTGCACTAACATTTATGGATCCTAAAACGCAATCTACATGCGATGATTATGGCAGTCATCAGAAATGCATCGCCAATCTTTATGACCACTTGCAGGCTTCCTCATATTTGCCTTAATGAACTCAATGGACCTTGATTCTTTTTTTATCTCTCTTACGCCTTGCCCAAAACTTGCCGGAACACCCGTTTGAGAAGAGCGTAAATAGAAGAAATCGTCAACCTTTACTGTTGAGGTTTCCCTTGACAAGCGAATGTAGCTATAGTCGCTGGATGGATGAGAACGACCGGGAAATCTTTTAGTTGTCTTGCCTCCAGCGCAAACTTTATAGTTTCGAAAACGCTTCCGCCACGCTTTGGCTCCACGCCAAAGCGTCGTGGAATGCAAGGGGCAACGGCATCCAAAGGGGGCGTTCTAATTTTTTTTAATCATTATAAGCGCCCCTCCGCGTTATACCGGTGGTTGATTTATAATTTCATTGCCAACGTAATAATGCGTTGAAATTTGTCATTTCTCGAAGTGCCGTTTAATCCTCAGTACCCTTTAAGTTAGTGGAAAACACGCAAAACATGTCTCGTGCACCTGGCGATACAAACTTTTCGTTGTTTGCTTATCTTTCCCCTAGATAATTTGTCTAACACATTAACATTGAATATCCACGCCACCGAATCGCAGTACCGCAGCTCGCAAAAAACATGTTGATGCAAGTTGAAAGACCATGTCGTCTATAGTTTCGTTCCCATTATTTAGTCCACAACACGCTCAACAGCCAAGTCTGCAACTAATATAAATACTTGCTTTGCTTTTGTTCGAGGGTTAAGTTTAGTAAGGGTTGTTTCTGTGACACTTGGTATTCTTCTGCAGAAGTCTGCATAGTTATTGGCAATCCCACGTCGCTGTGGAGATTTATTGAAACAAAACTCTAAAAAAGCTGGCATTAAATTAGAAGCCTTGGTTTCTGTAGTCGTGTCTCTTATTACCATGAATGAGTGCTTCGAACCTAAACAAAGCAATGTAACACATTATAGTAATCACAAAACGAAAAAAAAATTATGGGGTATACGTGAAGCGCGTATAGTTAAAACAGATTTCATTAAAGTAAGTTTGTGTTGCAATATTTACACCGTTAGCCGCAATTTAGTTATACGGCGCTGCCCGGATACTTCTGCCCAAAAATCAATGACCCCACCCTTACAGTTATTATTATGTACGCTAGAGGTTCAACTGGCGCTAGTGTGCTCGGGCAAATTGAAGCATACAGCAACCAGTCAGGAGGGGACTCCCGGTAAGGCAATTCTATTGTAAAAAGCGAGGTCATTTTTACTCTGCACTTGATAATGAGAACAAATATCACGAATAATTCGTACATACTAGGTAGCCTGGAACATTTCTCAACCTGGAAAACCAAGAGAGAAGGCAAGAACTACGCAGTAACACTAGATAAGTAACTCCCTGTGCATGCAGGCGATCAACATGAATTGAAAATCACGTAATATAGTCCAGTTTGCAATAAATTAACACCGCTTTTTTTTTTCAGCACATGGATATGTGCGAATATGATTGTTCTGTGTTCACAGCATTTCGCGCATGCTCGGAATATTAGAAAATAGAAAGAAGCCAGAGATTAGGTGCCCAATAAAAGCTGCCCGACATAGAAGATAATAAAAGGACTCACTTTTCATAGCCCGTGTAGATTATGTTTTGTGTTTCGAATGTTCTTTGAACCGCTCGAAAAGATGCATGACGAAGTCATTTTTATATAGTGACAGGACGGTCATATTTTAACGATATATAAGCACCACCGGAATGCTGGCGAACCTTGAACACACTCTACATTTCCTTCTATTGGTTTTTTGCTTAGAATCGTCGCTCGTTTTGCGTACCTGCCATGAAACAGAGGTTTGGGCCTAAAATATAGCGGTTTAACATCATTTAGCGGTAAGGAAAATGCTATACTTAAAGCATTTACCCATCTACAATGTTACTAAAGGTACAACCTATTCGGTACGACCCAAATTACAAATATTATCTATGTTATTTTATGTCGAAGAGACAAAAGGCACGGGCGTTTCCCCGTACCAATGTACAGAACCACTACAAAAGTAGACTGGTTGCTGTCTGCTTCAATTTGCCTCCCGCGGGTCGCATTTACAATAGCGCCAGTTGAACCTCTATCGTATATTATAATAACTTCATGGCCCCGCCCATTACTACTGAAATGGCTTAGCTGCTCTACCGAACATGCTTGGAAGCCTAGTGTCTTCAATTTCGCGACATCCGGTGCATCCAGTTTGGCTACGGTGACTGGAACGCGCATCCGACTGATGTGTTTCGTGTCCTATTCCGCTCATGCATTGAAAGGGGTCCCAATGTGGCAAAAACTAACGTCACGAAAGTCGTAGTGTCATGCTGCCGGATGTCTCGATCCTGGTTTGTGGTCGTTGAAGTTCTGGCAAAAGGCACGAGCAGACAGGACTGCCCTTGTCGTCTCGGCGTCTCAAACCCTAGCTGCCGAAGCTTCCAGGGACTGCCAAGCTAGAGCGTGATCCACAGCATAATAGGCGTCTTCCACATCCACCACCGCTGCTGTGACATCGCCAGGGCTGCGACCGACAACAGCACGGCACATCCATGACGTCATCAGGCCGAAATCCGGGACCCCTTTTCTGGACGCAGTAAACACACCAGTCGGAGACGCGTACCAGGCACCATAGTCTGGCGCTTGACACCACCTGCTTGTCGTGCGAGCTCACGCGCTATACAGCCTCCGGCATCGTCTGCTAGACTACCGCCAACTATCCTCGCCTGCCATGCTCAGACGCGGATATAAAAGCTGCACGTCGGAGCCCGATCTCGCCTTCGTTCGTCTCCTAAAACTTCTCCGACGCTCGTCTAAAATCTTCTCCAATGCTCGCGAGACGCAACCATGAAAGTGGCCAGAAAACTACGTTTCGGCCTTCCATCATGCCGTAGGCCATATACTGACAAAGCCTGGAAGATCGCAACGAGAAGCGACCGCCGAAAGCGAAAGGTTGGAGCGGCAGACAACGTATGAAAGGAGAGCCACGCGACAGGCGCCCAGCTGCGGCGAGACGCCGAAACTAACTTCTCCCGAGTGAACGAGTGCGTTTCGGGTCATCGCCACTGAAAAAGCTGTGCGCTGTCGTCCAGGTTCTCCGAGAAATGGCTCTTTGGTGCTCTGTACTGCCAGATCCCCGCGCTTCAAATCTGCGACCGGGCGCTGTATGGCTCCGTCGTCGAACTTCCGGGCTCTGTAGGTATAGAGGAGGCTATGATCATGCATAAGCCACTATCCAATACAAGCGTCTGTCAGCGTCTGTCGATTTTTGGTAGAAAGCGACTGAAGCAATTTCGGGGAAAAAGCGAAAGCAACAGAGAGGAATAAAACGATTAACAAAATATATGCTGTCCTTGCACCATTTTTTGTTATTCTTCTTTTCTTTTCTTTTTTTCGCATGGCATCCGCGAGCATGGTAGTGATCACAATTAAAATGCGACCTAAAATTATTCGCTGTCGCGAGCCAGGTGCACTACAGAATTTGATAGATTCCTTTCTTTCGAAGCGAAATAACGGGAACAAGTCTTAACAAACTTGACGCGAGACGAACGCTCGATTGCGTCCAGCCAATTGGCTCACAAATTCTTACCTTGGTAGATACCTTCTCGGTACTGAAACCATGGTTGCAATCACTACGGTTGCATAATTCACAGAGCACCGGGGCCGCTTTTATAGAAAAAAATCTTTATTTAGTGTCAACACGCGCAAACGAACAAATCAAGGCCAGTCGAGAAACATATAGTTGACGTGGGCCGCTAGTGTTAGGCCAGTCCCGCTACGAAAAGGAGTACCCGCACAGCGCTTCCGAAGTTGCGTACTTGCGGCAGTTGTTTGTTGCAAACTACGTCGGTTGAGGGGATGTTCCTATAAACACTTCAGTAAACGCAAGACGACTCGCACTCCTGGAAATAGAAGAGCTCGACGATCTGCGCTCATTGAGTAACCGCAGATGCCGGCAGCCATGCTTGTTATCGGTTCACACCGATGAGGAAGAGGCAATCTTGAGACACTTTTGAAAACTATAATGACTCTATTTAGATTATTTGTTTCTTAAACATTAAAAAACATTCAATTGAAATACTATTACGGCACGGATACAATTTTACAGCCAATATTTCACACGTCAATCATTTCTCCGAACAATGAGAGCCGAAAAACTCTCCTTAATTATTTAAGCACTAGGCGGGACCTAATGCAGGTCTCCCCCCACCCCCTCCCCCTAATTATGTCAAACGGCGTAAGTATTGCAGAATTTGTTATTTTTTTTCGTAGAGAAATTGAAATAAAATAGGGGTCCCATTTAGGCCCTTTAAAGTGTCACCTTAAGTATTTAAAGCGTATTGACTATATATTTAAAACACCTACAATTTTGTTATACAGCGAAGGGTACAGGAAGCTCGGGACGAGAGGCTCAAACTCATGACGGACCTTTTGTCTTCGGTGAGACTTGTGAAGATGTACGCGTGGGAGGAGGCCTACATGAATGCCGTGTCTGTCATCCGAGAAAGGGAAATGGCTCCCTTATTCAAAGCTAACCTATTGGATGGCTTCCTCGATTCCCTGTACAGCGCATCCAGTTCTGTGGTACGTACATACTTGGTCTTTCTGCTAAGGTTTAATAAAAATATATGTCTAGGGCGGTTGAACTATACAAGCGCTTTTCAGAAACAAACTGCCAGTCACGTCGGACGTTATTATATTGCACAGAGCATAATGGATATCTAAATTGATAAGTAAAATTTGCTAATTAAATTTTTATATGGTGACACAAAAGCGTAGGGTACTAAGGAAAAACTTGCTGAGCGCAGAAGAAACACTATACATCACTCAATTTCAGGACCAGTAGTTACCACTCGTGGAGCAGGCGCGAGGCAAGTGATGCGAAAACACAGACGATATTCGGAACTGCCTTTTTGCATCGCCGTTTTAAAAATCCTTAGTGTTATTTTTTTGCTAGCTGATAACTGATTACATAGTCGTTTTCTCAGAGTAATGTAACGACTACTTCTTTTACCTAGACATATCTTACATTTTGTGTTGTCTCGGGAGCCTGGGACTTCAGCCTGTCACTGTTATATAAAAAAAGGTTAATTAAGGTGCCATTGTTTTAGCGAAATATGTAGGCTAGGTGTAAATATGTAGCATATAGTTTGTTTATTTCTTTTAAGTGTTGGCATTTCCCACTAACGCCCTATGGAATGTACAATGTCTTCTGGCTTTTCCGTGAGCCATAATTTATTTTCGCCTATATCAAAGAAATATTAAAACAGTTCAAGTTGAGAAACTTTAGTCGCACTTCTTATTGTTACTTACGCCTTGGCAGATGATTGTTATTCTTTTCGGAGCCTTGGCCACCCTAGACCCAACACGAACACTGAGTCCGGCGCTGTCCTTCTCCTGCGTCTACATGCTGTCTTTGACGGATATTGTGACCAACTCGTTCTCCTTGACTCTCAAGATGATCGTCATGGTAAGCCTACAAGCGAAAACGCAAATTCCTAAATAAAAAATAAATAGAACTGATGACTACTATAAAGCAAAAACGTTGCAAAAACAAAACTGCAAAAATGGGTGAGGAACAGATGATGGAGACACAAAATGCGCTTGATGTGCGTGCAACTATTTGGGTGCTGTTTTGCATTTTTACAGGTTCGTACAAAAACACCAATTTAATGGCTTCACGCAACCAATGTGCTGCAAACACTTTGCATCACCTCACCACTAGGTGTCTTCACGCTTTGCGCCTCACATCACTTGGGGTTCAAACAACACCGCTGCTAAAATTTCTGCTTAACTTAAAAAAAAGTCTGGTATTAGGTAAAAAAAGAAGAAATTGCTTCTCTCGCACTTTCTTGTATAAACATACCATTTACACTTGAGTACTCAGCAATAACATAAAATAATAAATAAAATACGTTATGGTAACTAGGTTATTATACGAACTGTATAAAAGACGCGAACAAGGAGTTGATTAATACGTTTGGACGAATTTTTTTTGGTCGAAGGTCAACGCTTCAGTCTAATAAAAACCAACTACTTCACTGGTCAGATATAGGGTAGATAATGTAACATTGTTCGCGAGCCGTGTCTTCTTTCTTCTCTTCTCGACGTAGTGGCACAGCTCGTGATCTCACGACCATGGTAGTAGCAGTTCCAATGGTTTGGTCGCGTGCTTGCCCACTTTTTCTGGTGTCGACGCGCGCTCTGAATCATCCCAACGCGTTTTTTTGTTCAAGCTGGTCAGTCGCCATTAAAATGTGGTGACTGCGAAAAAACGATCGTCCTCTTGGTCAGCAGAGCACGAGCTCGGACACGGGAGCTCGTGCATTCCGTTCTTCGGCGAGGTGGAATCTTGGCAGCTAGTCGTGCCCCTTCGACCTTCTGTATTGGAATAAGCCCTCAGTACACCCTTCGACTCGGGACTACTACACTGGCGACGAAGGTGAAGACCACAGCGGGCTCAACAGGAGCACGGCAGAGCAGCAGCGAGCACGGTAGAGAACCAGACCCACCGCTTCTATGGTCCCGAGACATTCGACGCCAAAAAGGAGAACTGGAAGCTTTATCAGATAAGATTTCAATCTAGTCTCGATGTCGCTAAGGTCACTGCCGACGCGGACAAGAGAAACTTATTGATCGCTTCAATCGGTCCCGAGACATTCAAGCTGCTCTACTCCCTAATCCAGCCACGGAGCTTTCTGGAGACGCCGCATCAAGAGTTGCTCAAAAAGCTCTGAGAACATTTCGCACCAAAGAAATTCAAGGAATTCGAACGGGCGAAGTTGTTTACGGCTCACCAGGAAGAAAATGAGGCAATCAAAGACTTCATAACGCGGCTTAGATCAATCCTCATTAACTGTGACTACGAATCTGAAGCCGACGCCTGAAGTTCCTCCCTTTTGACGGCATTCATCGTGGGTCTCCGTGACACGCGCGTCCGGGCACGTCTGGTGCTCGAGAAAGACCTCACTCTGGACGTCGCACTTCGCTTGGCCAAGTTAACCCTCACCGCCGAAGCAGGGTCCCGACGCCTGGACCGGGGAGACCACGCTGCGCTGCTCGTTGAAAAGGTGAAGCCGTCCACCTCTGCACCTGTCAAGTGTTTTCGATGCGGCAACTCCAACCATTCGGAGAGTTCCTGCCGCTTCCGAACTGAGTCGCGCAATGCGTGCGGCAAATGAGGCCACATTGCAAAAGTATGTCGATCAGCGGAGCGTCACAGGACAGCTGGCAAGAAAAAGAAAAAGGTGAAAACAATCACCAACGTATTCGTCACTCCAGAATCAGATGGCGAATTTTTCGCTTGCGTTGTTCAAGGAACACCCCTAAGGTTGCGGGTCGACACAGAATCTAAGCTGACATTCCTAGACACGGACACGTGGCGGAAGATAGGGACACCTAGGTTGCATAAATGCGAATACAACCTCTTCTGCTTCAACAAAAAAAAATCACGGTTCAGGGCCGGTGCTTGCTTCAGGACACGCTTGGGAAACGCTCCGAAAAGCTAGAAGCATTGCTGACTGACAAGCGACACACCAACCTGCTAGGAAGAACGTGGATCCACAGGCTGAAGATCGACCTAAACAAATTGTTTATTCAATCTGTGGAACTGGAAGTTGAAGCCTCGCTTCAGACAACGTTGGCAACATTTCCGACCTTGTCTTCCGGCGACTTGGGTTGTTGCACTAAACTCAAGGTCCAACTTCACTTCAAGCCTGACACGCAACCAAAGCTCTTCAAGCCACGCCCAATACCATTTGCTACTAGAGCAGTAGAGAAAGACTTGGCGAAGCAAGTCAAGAACAACGTTCTCACGCCCATGAACTTCTCGCAGTGGGCCACTCCGATTGTAATCGTCCTAAAGTCGGAAGGCTCGGTTCGAGTCTGATGTGACTTTTGTGTCAGCGTGAATCCTCAGCTCGACATAACCCAGTACACTGCCACGTCCAGAAGAACTTTTCACTAAACTAAATGAAGGCAACAAATTCATGAAGCTGGACTTGTCAGAAGCGTATTTCCAGCTGGAACTCGATGAAGGGGCAAGAACGGCTCTCGTGATCAACACACACAAAGGTCTATTCCGATTTAAGCGGATGCCTTTTGGAGTCGCCTCCGCCTTAGCAGTGTTCTAGCGCACGATGGATCAGGTAACTGCAGGGCTTGAAGGCGTTGCCTGTTACCTCGATGACGTCATCGTCACTGGGAGAGATACTCCTGAACACCTTCAGAATCTTCAACAAGTGCTCCAGCGGCTGCAGGAATACGGCTTCACGCTCAAGAGTAAAAAATGCGCCTTTCTTAAAGAAAAAGTCGAGTACCTCGCGCAAGTCGTTTCCGCCGACGGCTTCACGCCTTCCATGAAAAAAGTCTCGGCTATCCTGAATATGTCAGAGCCCAAGAACATCAGCCAGCTAAGATCTTTCCTCGGCTTGGTGCAGCATTACAGCAGGTTCCTTTTTAAAACCTTGCTTACAAATGTGCGCCGCTGAACAAGCTACTGAAAAAAACACCGCATATGGAGCTCCGAGTGCGTAGATGCGTTTGAAAACATCAAACAACAACTGACGGCTACGGAGGCCTTCGTCCACTTCAACCCTGATCTGTCAATTCACTTCGCGGCGGATGCATCGCCGGAAGGCGTGAACGCTGTGGTATACCACAAGATCAATGGCAAGGAACGTCTTATAGCACATGCTTCTAAGACACTGAATTCATCTGAGTGTGCTTATGCACAAATAGAGAAGGAAGCACTTGCCGTCATCATTGGAGTCCACAAATTTTACCAGTACCTTTGGGGACGCAGGTTTGTGATCTATACTGACCACAAACCTCTGACAACCATCTTTGGACCCATAAAGGGAATCCTCGTGACATTGGCGAACAGACTCCAGCGTTGGGCCTTCAGAACTAATGAACTACAGCTACACAATTGAGTACGTGCCAACGGCAAAGTTCGGAAACGCTGACGGACTTTCGCGTTTTGCACAAGGTCCCGATGAGGACTTCGGCAAGGAAATGGCGAGCGGAATTTTCACCATCTCCTGTGATACACAACATGTCTTTGCGCTTCACACCCTGAGATTGTCTAAGATACCAGTGAAGGCAAAGGACACCGCCACGGAAACTGCGTCAGATCCTGCCCTCTCCCGAGTACAGCGGTGCATCTGTCAGGGCTGGCCAGAAAAGGTGACGGACTCCGACCTCATGCCATTCCATAGACAGAGATCGGAATTAACCATCCCCAACGGTTGCATCCTATTGAATTCGCGAACCGTAGTTACAGGCAAGTTTCAGCACCAAGTAATGAACCTTCTTCACGAAGGACAAGTGGAGCAAACAAAAATGAAGATGTTGGCACGGTCGTACCACTGGCGGGCACATAACGACATGGACATTGAGCGCACAACGCAGCAATGCGAGCACTGCAGCAGTGTTTCCGACAACAAACCACACGTTCCTCTTCACCGCTGGGAAGCTCTGGAACTGCCGTGGCAGAGACTTCATGCTGAGGTTGCACAACTAGATCGACAGAGTTTCCCTATAGTCATAGATGCGTTCAGCGAATTGCCTGAGGTTATACAGTTGAAATCCATAACAACGGCAGGTATCATCGACTCTTTGCAGGAGATTTTCTCTCATCAAGGCCTGCCACAACAACTTGTCACCGATAATGGGCGACAACTCATCAGCTCGGAATTCAAAGAATTTGTGGACAGCGGTGGAATTACTCATCTCTTTACACCGCCGTATCACCCCAAGTCCAACGGACAAGCAGAGAATTTTGTGTAGACTTTGAAGACTGCTTTTCGACGTTCCTCCAGAAGAGAGAGGAAGGCAGCCATCCGATACTTCTTACTTAAGTTCCGGATCACCTCCCACACCTCAAAGAGAAAACCCCGTGTCAACTGCTCACGAGCAGGCCCCACCGGACGGTTCTCGACTTATTGAAGCCTCTCAAGGTACGGGCCGGTAACAAAACGGCAAAGAAAGACGAAGGAACTGCTACATTCACAATCAAGCAGAAAGTGTGGGAAAAACATCCTCTTCACAAACAGCAGTGGATAAAAGGCGTTGTCACAAGAAGAATTGGCAACACCATCTACGAAGTTTCAGATGAAGATAACAAAACCCGTCGGGTCCACGCAGATCACCTGAAACCAAGGTTGACATATGACGATCCCGACACTTCAATCTTCCCAATCGATGTTCCAGGGCCTTCTCAGAGTTACACCCAGCAGGAGGCCACCGACACACAAGTTGCTTCGGGGGTCTGCACTACAGCCAGACTCCAGTAGGAGATATCCGACCCGCAGCCTTCTCAAGCCGGACCGTTACAAGCCTTTCTGAGGGGTAAGGAAATGTGATGACTGCAAAAGATGATCGTCGTCTTGGTCAGCAGAGCACGAGCTAAGACAGGCGAGCTCGTGCATTCCGTTCTTCGGCGAGCTGGAATCCTGGCAGCTGGTCGTG